GAAGGGAGCACTGTTGCCATCCAGCAAAACGCTCGACGATACCGACCAGGTGATTTTCATCTATCTTGGAGATACTCCTCGACATACTAACTGGCTTGACTCGCCCTTTCGCATTTTGTTAATAACCGCACAAGAATAGGCAGTGCTAGTAAGTGTAACAGTGTCATTTTATTTTTATTCAGGCTATTGCATACACTCTGAACCAATACTACAGCAAAAAATCGGACCCGACCATATTCCATGTCATGTACAATGATGAGGTGAGTTTATACTCGAATTCCTTAGATTTCGGTCCAAGGCGGAGCAAGTTGATATTGCTACCGCTCACAAAGAAAGAAAACTTATCAGCAACGCGCAAGATGGGCGTGCTGGGTGAGGCCATAGGCTGGTGTCAGAGTCCGCGATCCGTCGCGCGAATCGCAAAATCGCAAGTGCCCCATTTGAATATTTGAAACACTGAATATGAAACAAGTAGAATCATGAACAGCCGTCATTCAATCGTCACTATCAAGCATAAATTGCTCGGTATTGGAGAGCGACTGACTGTGCGAACTGACTCTGATACCAGCGATAGATAGCACAGCAAAAAGACGAAGGATAGGTCTGCCACCAGGGCCGCATAAAGCTGATTGCGGTTTGCAGCAGGAGCTGACGTTGACTTTTTATGGAAAGCACGATTAGTTCGATGTTCGACGGAGCAGTTGTCCGTCGAGTAGTCAAACCGCTTGACAAAATGTGCTTGAGCTTCCGCTGGCTGCTACCTCTGCCGCCTACGCGCTGTAAGCAGTCGAAGTAAAGGTAAAGGTAAAGAGAGCAAGCATTCGGGTTCTCCCTTCCTTGCGGCACGAAATTGCAGGCAGACAAACGCGATCCAACACTTGACAAGTTCGAACTGTATCCTTCCCACTGTTTTCAGGCTAACTCAAGCAACATATTATAGTACTTCCATGCACGGAATGATGGCGTATTTTAGAGGTATCACCGGGGCGCAGAGTCTTCTGAAGCAGGAAGAAGTACAAGTATTAATGTGAGAGCTGAATGGAAACAAGGAGTACCGCCATCTAGGAGTTGATTTCAAGCAGTCATGTCATACCTTTTTCGCTGCATGTCTTATCAAAGGCACGCCGCAGGGTCGTGCTAGTGTGATTTTTGCGCTCGGAAGTGGCAGTAGAGGTGCGAAGTGGCACGATAGCGCAGGAGAAGGAAACTCAACACCGACATAAAATCAGAGGCCGTGCTCTTTCTGGATGTTTATAATAAAAAGCTAGCTTTGAAAAAAGTAAGTGCGAGCGCTGCGGAGAAGGAACATAACCCTTACGAGAGAGCATGGATAAAATCGAGAGCGAATTCGGCCTATGACGTCCATTCGTGGGTGGATCCCCGGCTTTAGGAGGAGCCGTGTATGCAGGCTAACGCCTAAACGCCTTTACCTGGTTTCGGGCCGCAAGGCCAGGAGCACCTGTGTGCACCTCTTTGGCGTCTCAGCTTTAATCCACTAAACTAATTAAGAAAGATATAGAAGATAACTCCTTTATAAAGCAAATTCTCACTGGCCTTTCACTTTACTTCGACTCATAATGGGAGACAAAGACGTGAGCGCAGAGTGAACTTAAATTACTGTTAAGGCAGTCACGAAAGTATTGCCATGTTAGCGCGCGCCCAGCGGTTGCCCACCTTCTCTCACACGCATCACTCGTCCACAGTTTCAACGACACCCATTAAAAGGTTCCACGCTTTCAGCTCTTAAATTGGATATACCACAACTGACAGAAGTCCCACCCGTGACAACAGTCGTCCATCATCATAATCAAACTCTAAAAGCTCTTTGGCATAAAAAATAAATGAAGGCGTAATTATATAATGCCTTAAAGGCAAAAGTCGGGCCAGACCCACTTATGAGCTTTACGGGCTAGAACGCTAAGTAACAAGTGAAGGTTCGGCGGCCACTCCCTGCTTCGAACAACGATCTTACGCTACGCCTGACACTTGACAGCTGCAAACCCTTGCGACACTCAGCGCTCCCCCACCGTTGAAACTGCTCTGTCGCTAAACTTCATCCTCTATGCTCTCATACGCTATACTCTCCGCTCCAAACGCTCGCATTATCTCTCATCCACACCGCCGGCCTTTAAGTTCTCCACAGCGAGAGCAAAAGACTGTTATCCTGTGCATCACGATTTTTCTTTTTCTCCACGCGGCCACTTACCCTACTTTCACATTAACGCCATAATTATTTCTGAATCTTGCCTTTAATGTCAATCAGTGTTAACATTACTTACATCTCGGATGCGTGCTTCATTTCCAGCCCTACAATAGTACCTCTGCTTCATTGCTTGAAATGCTGACGTCAAACCGTGTGCACCCAGCTGCCATACAGTTTGGTCACACAAAAGGTGAGAAATAATTCAGTTTAAAGGTTGATTGCGCAATTTCTCCGTCCACAAATCAACAGCGCTACCTCAGCTTTCTATGCATGCGATTTCTTCTTGAAGCTTCTACAAACATCCATTGGAGTTTTCTTCAGGTACAATGTTCTTCGATGAAACTGACGGCATATGGTTGATTCACAGCGTTCCGAAGTTCCCACCACCGGATCACTACCAGTACCCAACCAGCGGACACGACTACGGTCAGACAATGTGGTGCCTCTCCCTCCCGTATTCTCAACTAGAAAAAATAGGTGAGGTGGCGTAACAAGATTCCTTTTTCGCGATTGCTAAAGAAAATAGGTGAAATGTACAAATTCACGGACTCGGAAGGAAGTCGTGAAAATTCGGCCTCCATTTGTTTTAGCCCTTCCAGCTTCTGATAAACATCTTCTTTAAGCCACTCAACTTTACTACAACAAGCCTGACATTTATTCTTCACAATTGCCGGTAAAAATGGCGGCTGACTATCCACTGTTATCAAAGGTGAGCAGTTTTTCTTTGAGGCGCTTAGCTCATATTGATGACGTGTTGTACCACTCTGGCTACTTGACTAATGCCCTTGTTTAGTTTCACTGGATGTCTTACTGTCTCTAACCACAGAAATCCGACAACTAATAGGATTTAGTTGGCAATCTCAGTGGGTAAAAATAACCAGGGCGGACGTAGTGTGGTGGCGTGTGACGCTGCTACCATGCACATGGTCGTGACATCGAAATCCTGGATCATATTTAGTCGTCCAGGATAAGCAATCTTCCATCCTCTTCCGAGATCGGCTCATTGGTACCTTAGTAGCTTGGCGTGGGGGAACAAAAACCCTTACCCGAATATTGCTAACGTACCATTTGCTCTCACAATCATTAATGTTTCCCAATCGAAATGATTTAAAAGAGATACAGAAAAATTTTGTAAAAATTCGGTTCCGGAGCAAGTTCAGATTCAGTCTCTGGTGCAAATATAATGAAAGATAACAAATTTTTTCCTTGTTAAAAATTGGTGAAATAAACGTCGAATGAATTATTGTACTATTTGAAAAACATGTGTCAAAATGGTGCCCGTCATCGAAATAAAATCATCGATCTTGAGTTCAGGTGATTGCCGGACAATACAAGCAGGGTGAACCATATTCCAGTACCCTCACCCTGACCACTAAAGGCGGAACGAATTTCATCTCATTTGCGAAGACCAACGAGTTCAACAATGGTAAGATTTGAGAGGAATTCATTCAAAATTTGAGCTAATTTTCACCGTTTTCATTCCAGATCTCTATGACGGTATTGTTGCCCCATATTTGAAAGCCGACCTCATCGCTGAGACTTGGCGCCGAGGTTCCGAGGTTCGCTAGGTTTACTGTTCTCTCTGCGAGGTTCACTCTGAATTCAGTCATGTCAATTAGGCAACGTTGAGGGCGTTTTCTCCCTAGAAATGTATGGTATTTAGCGCCAGAGCATACGACTGATTTTGAGATAGTCAAAAAATTGCAAATGAAAACATGAAAAAATCATAGGGAAGAAATGAAATCCACAACACAAAGAAAAATGATTGCCTTCAACCAGGTTATAAATTGCGTCTAATAGCTCAATTTTTGGTCTAGGTGCCTCTTCAATGCTCTCTCACCTACCACACCAACGATGCTCTTCAGATTCAAGTTGGTCACTTGTATTTCATAAAGTGAAATTCAACCACCCAAATATTTCTTGGCAGGTGGGAGCAACGATGGAGTTCAAATACACAAAAGATCATTCGAAACTGGCGCGATCGGCGGATTCGACCAGGCCGTGGGTCTGCATTGGCGACGTCAACCGAATGGTTTGTTACCCTGTGTTGAGACTCTTAAGCTCAGCTTCTGATTCGCACTCTCATCCTTAGCCCATCAATCCACTAACATTTCGAAGTTGTTTCCATGTCACTATTCGCATAAAAAAAAGTCCCAAAATAATTTCTGATTGAAAAGCAATTTTACTTCCTCAGGCGCGTGAATGGAACTCTAAACAGATTTAGCAAACTGCTCCGTACTGGTATCTGTCGTGTTTACTTTTCGCATCTGTTTCACGACCACCCAATACATCCGCGGTGGCGGCACGACATGTCTTTCGAGTACGTTTGTCTGGCAGGCGTTCAACGTTATAAAGGACGAAAACAACTGCTAAATCATAAATAAATGGTTTCTCGAGCGATTTTTTCAGTGAAACCTTATGAAAACCAGGCCTGGTGTCAGACTCTGGATCGGATAGCAAAGGGCGAATCGCGCGACTCTTAGAATTGTCACTAAAGCGACACGTGTCCTACTCAGAAAATCCATACCCATGTCAAACACATAGACCACGACTCACATCAAACTAGTCTTCATATTCGCCAATAATCGCCCATTACTCAACGCACCACATTATATAACAAAAACAGGGTACTCGCCGTATGAATCGAAAATTCACGCGAATAACGCGAATCCTCGTTAATTTCGTGAATTCGTTATAACTCGGTTCAAAATTGAGCTTTCGAGAATCCGAAGATATCTTTGAATTCAGCTCGTCGGACACTATAAGAATGTGCTTTGATACTTTGGAAAAGCTCCATATAGGATTGCGCCATGCACTCGATTTTCATCTCAAAAAGTAGTTGCTCGCATGTGATGTGTATATAATCCCGCTTATGCGGGCTGACCGCTACACACAGAGAAGGGCCTCAAAACTTACCCAGAATGCGCCACGTACTCAATCTCATCCACTACATTGTGAGATTAGATGAATGTTATTTTCCGAATTCTTAGATCTTCATTTCGTTTTAAAGCCTACTGGACCGAACCCGCGTCCGCTGTCGTCAACCATGTTAAACGAACATTTTCGTAGACGGGGTGTCAGGCTCCTAATAAAAGTTTCGGTTGACATAAACAACCTTGCATAGGTCGCTTTTGAAAGAAGTTTTTAACTGGACTCGGCACGTCGGCGGTAGGGTGTGGGGAAGGGATCGCTTATCCATCATATTCCTATCGACGGTTGCCTTGACCCCCTCTCTCCTCCCGATCATATACCAACGGCAATCCAAAATCAATTCTGCACGAAAACTGCAACCTGTCGCAACAGGGTGGATCCAAAATGAGGACCAAAGACATTGTCTTAAAAACACATAGTTGCTTGATGGGACAAACAAACTTCAGGGAAGTGTTTGCAACTCTTATCTCAAAGTAAATCCAGAATCGAATTGAGATCTGCCACCTGCCGCGTTAACGCGAGCCTTCAGATGAAGGGGGATGGCGCGTGCGCTGACACGCAACTTAGGCATCTCAAAATGTTTCCAGGCCTCTGCTTTGCTTCAGGGGATCGAAGTTTTGTGGGGCATTTATTTGCACTTGCCTCCAGGGTGTAAAATACAGAAGTCTAGTGATATAAGATAAAAGGTTCCTATGTAACAATTCTTCAAAAGCAGGAACTCGAAAAATCGCTTTTTAGGGGATTTTCGCTCTATTCTTGGGTGCTTGGTCCTGTAAAAAGTTTCCAAGCATTGTACTCAAAAAGCTTCCTATCCATTACAGATGTGGAGCCTTTAGAGTGTCTGGCTAAGTTTTCACATCGATTACTTCATTTTGGATAGAAAACGCCAGGGAAAGAGCAAGTTTCTCTGCATCCTTATAATTGCCTGGGTGACTGACCTCTACCTCCAATTCCATCTGTGGTGGTTCCAAACTCATTGAAGAGTCAAACTGTTGCTCATAAGAGGTTCCCTGATTCGTTGGACTGCCGCTAGATGCAACGTGCCACAGCCCCAAGTGTGTTCAATTTGAGGACTGGCGTAAGGTGATGCAGTTATTTCACTAGTTTCGAGAAGTGCATGATAATTCTTTCAGTAGAAAGAAGACATTGTACCCTTTCACATAGTGCACAGAAAAGGAGATGAAAATGTAGCGACTCGGAAAAAAGTGGATATGACCTAGCGCGCACGCGGTCCTCATAATTTTGGACCACCCTGTAGTATAATATGGTTCGTCGCGCACAGGTAGACTGAGGACTGTTTGAATGAATTTCATCAGATAGAATATTTGGGAGTGTTGGGTTCATAGTCGTAGATGGAGATTCATGACCCGGCACAAATTTCCCTCTCATTTACGCAATTCTATAACAGCACACAGTCTGATGTTGGAAATCGAATTAGTTGGTCAAGGTCAAGCATAAACTGCAATTTTCGGAGTCAGTGTTACCTCCTCTCCTTCCCAGAATGATATTGTCTGGTAGATCAGCAATTCTCTTTGATTCTTTGAAACTGCATAATTTTCTTCACAATGTTTTCCTGAAGATCGGCATCTGACCCGATTAAAAATCAAACAGAACTCGAAAATTCGTCTCACATAAGATGGAAGCCATCTTGAAAAACGACCATTTTTTGGGTCCAGGTACATATATGAAGTGAAGTGGGTTTTTTATCCGCAATATGGCTCGGCCTATACTGTAACAGAATGACATCACTTTTCAACACTTCTGAATACTAAAATCCCACTAACGAGGAAGGTGCAATCCTATGAAGATTCCAAATTGCAGCCTTGCACTCTGCTTCCGGCCTTTGGAAAGCTTTCTGAACACAGGAGCGCCAGATATAAATGTGATTACGTGCGCAAAAATATTAAAACTCATTACGACTGTGTGATGCCATAATCACAGGTGATCCATATGAAGAGCTAACCCCGTTCCCTCTTCCCTCCCTCCGAAAAACTGCGATGAAAAGGTTGCTCAGAGAAAATTGCGTTAGCTAGAGGGTAGACGAGTTTCAAAATAGCCTGTGATAAGGCGCCGAAGATGGCTCCAAAGCCGATTCGATTCTCAGACACTTCCACCGCCTGCACGTGGAGGAAATGATAGTGGCAGAGAACGGATAAGTATAAGGATAAAGCATTCGCCGTTGATTACTCAACGTCTATTTCAATACCTAAGAAGGCACAACATGACAGATAATCCATTTATCCTTTTCCTCGCCACATCCATGATCAATCCCTTTTGGGATGCGGCACGCATTCTACTTCCATTTGTACATTCGTAGTGGCGTTTGAATGCGATGTGGCCTATACAATGACTTGCGGGGGCCAGCCGATGTACAAGTCAGTGTTTTTATCCTCCCAGACAAGTCTGGTACCAATTAACCGACCCCGGAGGGATGGAAGGCTTGGTTGGCCCGGGCGACTCACGACCCAGGATTTGATCCCCGGACCGCTCGCGTGGTAAGCGCGCCACTTGCCACTACACCACTTCCGCCCTAAAAAGGATAATAATAATATATATATATATATAATACGTAATTATAATATATATATATCTAATAAGA